CTATATTTTGTTTTTCACTCCCTAAGTTTACATTATTTATGTAAAAATGTGTTAATATGAAAAACATCCAAATTAAATTCCCAATAAAACTTGCATTGTTGTTTCCTGTGGGTGCTCATTGTACTTTACAATTCCAAGCATGAAAATATACAATATTGATGTATGAAAAATAACATGGGAATTATAAATGAAAAATAACTAATGCTCTCTAATATGTCTACTATCACCCACTCACCCCAAAACTCTTACCATACTCTCAGGCCAGAATATGAACATACTCAGTAATAATAAAAAATGTTACATACTGCCATCAAATCATCTATGACAATTTCATAGTCTTCTTCTCAGGTCACCAATTTTGAGTATTATCTGCTATACAATTTCAATAAAGCATTGATATACTTACTGAAAAAATACTTATCAAATTTAATATACTTATGATCACACTTCATGTATCCAAGTCATCATCCAATGATAAACATGTTGGTGGTGCCTAAGAAGATGAAGCATGAACTCACTTATTTTATCTTCTAAGTGAAATAATTTGTGTTTGCCTAATAGTAACATCATCACTCAATACCAAAAATACTTTCTTACTTTTACTTGTTTTGGACTTAACCGTGACTACATAAATAGATTCCATACTCTGTGGTGATAAGTAACTAAGATCTTAGCAAAATAATATAAAAAGAATTTCGACAATACATTGTATTGTAGGAAGTGAAATTAAAAAAAAACTACAATTCCAACAATGGAACTAACATGTTATATTTTAATTCACACTTAATTAGTTTGTCAATTAAATCCAAGTGAATTATTATTCATTTTTTCATAAAACATAGGGTTAAAAATAATTAATTTAACCAAGTTTAATTTTTGTCCTTATAGTTTGTAATTGTATAATGTAATATTAGTGATATTAAAAAATGTTATATTCACAAATTGGGCCGACCCAGTTATTTGCATGCCCATCCTTCAGTGATATATATAAAGAGCATTGCAGTTAGGGTTTTTGCATCACTTGCAGCAGCTATGGTGAGAAACCTAGACCTTCTTCGTTCCTCGAATTCATATTCACGTTCCATATTTCTAACTGTTTTCGTTTATTTTGATGTAATAGGCTCCCAAAAAAGGTGTAAAGGCTTCAGTTGCAGCTTCTAAGAAGAAGCCTGTACGTAACACTTATTCTCAATTGAATCAGATATTCACGATTCATCGTTTTTTTGTTGCATTTATCTTTTTATATATTTAATATTAATATGAAATGGATTTCAGGAGAAGATTACGAATCCGCTTTTCGAGAAGCGTCCGAAGCAATTCGGAATCGGAGGGGCATTACCTCCAAAGAGGGATTTGACTCGATTTGTGAAATGGCCAAAGACTGTTCAAATTCAGAGGAAGAAGAGGATCCTTAAACAGAGGTTGAAGGTCCCACCTGCTTTGAACCAGTTTACCAAGACTCTTGACAAGAACCTAGGTCACTTTTCATTTTATTCTTCTTATAAACATTTTTTATGTTCATTTCACTGTTCTCATACGTTTTTATTTCGAGAAAATGGTATGGATTTTTATTAATTTTATGAAACAATTATTGATAGGATATTGCTGTGTATTCCTCACTGGAAAAAGGCTTGACTGGTGGTGGTGTAGATTTATTGAAACACGTGTTAATAATGTTGTATATTCTATTTCTAGGGCCCATAAACTTAAGATATAGAAGCTTACTTCGTTATTTTGTAGCTCTGACAATTCCTGTTTGTAAAACTTTCGTTTATATTGGTTTTTATGTTTACTTTTTGTATTTGTTCAAAATAACCAATCTAAGGACTATTTTTTCATTGGAGCTGGCATATTTTGGTGTAGTACTGATCTGTTAAGATTTGAAGTTATTGACAAACATTAGTTATATGATTTTTGTTGGCAGAAATGTTTTGGACAATGCTAATTGCTTCTGGGCTACTTTTTGTGTTATTGTAGGTTTTATTTTGCGTCTTGGTGTCATAATTACTTACTGGCTTAGTATTATATGTCTTTCACTGTCTATCCATGATTTATTGACCAATTTTTATTCTTTAATTTGTGTTAGTTGTGTCACTATTTTGATTGCATTTAATAATGTCTTCTGCAGCAACAAGCCTTTTCAAGATACTTCTTAAGTACAGGCCTGAGGACAAGGCAGAGAAGAAGGAGAGGCTTTTGAAAAGGGCTCAGGCAGAAGCTGATGGCAAACCTGTTGAAGCAAAGAAGCCAATTGTTGTGAAGTACGGTCTCAACCATGTTACCTACCTTATTGAGCAGGTTGCGTTCTTTTTAATGCTTTTGGTTCTAGTTTCCTCGGTAATTGCCATTGATTTTGACTATAATTACTTGTTAATCTGCATTTTCCCTGCAGAATAAGGCACAGCTGGTTGTGATTGCTCATGATGTGGACCCAATTGAATTGGTTGTCTGGCTCCCAGCATTGTGCAGGAAGATGGAAATTCCATACTGCATTGTTAAGGGCAAGGCTCGTTTGGGAACGGTAGTTTTTTGTTTGATAAGTCTGATTCTGACTTTATTGAGTTTCCTTGACAACACTCACATTCATTCCATATTTTATTCTGTGTCCGTTTCAACAGGTTGTCCACAAGAAAACTGCATCTGTTTTGTGCTTGACAACTGTTAAGAATGAAGACAAATTGGAGTTCAGCAGAGTCCTAGAGGCTATTAAGGTTGGTTTGAATTTGATGTTTTCTGAATTATTTGTTGTTAATGTTTGTGTCCAAACCTGTATTGTGTGTTTTGATGGTTTCCTAACTTCTTTTCAGGCCAACTTCAATGACAAGTATGATGAGTACAGAAAGAAGTGGGGTGGTGGTATAATGGGTTCCAAGTCCCAAGCCAAGACCAAGGCTAAGGAAAGGCTTATTGCCAAGGAAGCAGCTCAGAGACTGAACTAGAAGTTTCTTATATTTTTTTGCTACTTTAGGGTTGCTTTTTGGTGCTTGTACGCTTATTTTAATTATAACCATTTTTAGTTTTCAAAGATATTTTGTTGGATTGTCCCTTTGAAAGAGTTATATTCAAATGAACTTTTTTATTTCATTAAAATCTCCTCCATGTTCCTTCCTTCGAACCCCAATTATGGTGGGTGTGTTTGTCATTGTTCATTTGTCAACTTTATTTGTTGTATACTTTACATTTTAGATTTGTTTTTTGAAGTATGTAACTTTTAACAAAACCATTTTATGTTGAATTAGATCAGTTGTTCTGGGTTTCGGTTAGTAAGTTGTTTGGTTTTCATTCAACACGTGCTAGTTTGGCTACAATGCATACAAATATGTTTGGAGTTACGGGTCATGCGGTGATAATGTATAAATACATGATTTAGTGCTTGTATTTTTTTGGGACTGTTGCAAAGAATCTCGGTATTAGAGGCGCAATGTTTAGCTAAGAAATCACTTTTTGAGTCCTTTTGCTATAACAGATATTCAAGCCATAATATTGTGCAGCTAAAGATGAAGTTTCTTGTCGAATCCCTCATAAAGTGCTGCTATCCACATTATGTTGATGATGTGTGCTTGAGATGAAATATAAATTCACATATATAAAGGAATTGGGTGATCTGGTAATTAATTACTTATTTATTTTTACATTAACTTTAACTTGGACATTTTTTGGCCATATCTGTCCTATATAAACACGCTTTGTTATTTTTACCAAGCCTCGCTATTCCTACTGTTATGGTTCAGCTACCCTAACCCTTGGTTGCTTTGGAGTAATAATATCACTAGTTTTTGGGTAGACACCATGGGAACTCTCCATGAGAATCCATCCCAACAAGAGTAAGACATTTACCCTAACGGATTCTTGTGAACCACCTTCCAAGCGATTCAAACAAACTCTCTCTCCGTCAACCTCCAATTCCTACGGTATTCATTATGGTTCAATCACTGTTATACCTTCTCTCTTTGATGGTGGAAGAGACGTGGTTGGAAGCTCTAAATGGAGAATTACAAAAACCCTATGCCCTTACTCTTTCCAAATTTGTCCAAACTGAGATTTTCAATGCTCTTAATTCTACTCCCTTTAGTACACTCAAGGTTGTTATCCTTGGCCAGGTAACCCAAATACAATTTAAAAGGGGGATTTTGCTATACAGGGTTGGGAAATTGATAATTGAACTACAATCTCAATACTTGATAATTTTATTCACAAATTAGGTATAATTTGCTTAAACCTATTAGTCATTCTCAGAAATTGTCTGAATTAGCTGTTCATATCACATTTTCATATAAGTAATATGTCTCTTCAAATGACTGAGCTATAAATATTGGTGTTACTGTCCTGACTCCTGAATGCAGTGGGATGTTGTACTGTCCTGTATGCTATTGGTACAGATAAATTAACGTAGTGAATGACTTCTACTCACTATTTCTACATAATTTCAGGGAGTTCTCTTGCTCAACGCTGTTCTCACAGGTTAGATTTTTTGCATATTCCATACTGTTTGTATTTCACTGTGTGCATGGTTATGATACTGTCCTTCACCATGTTTTCTGTTTTATAGTTGTACAGTTGTACTCAATTGGTATTATGCAACTAGTTTTTCTTTTTTGAATTCAGTTAGGAAGCATCAAGCGAATTCTCATGCAAAAAAGGGCTGGGAACAATTTACTGATACTGTTATCAAGACAATCTCACAGAAGAAGGAAGGAGTTGTGTTTCTGCCCGGGAGAAATCAAGGTACTGTTGTTGTATAACACTATAACAAGCTTTGGAAACTAAAAGTGGATCTACTGACCTAGGCTAGCAAAGTCAGCTTGATCTGAAAAAATAAAATATAAAAATATACTTTTATTTGTGAGCAATGGGTAACAAGCACATTATTCTGCATGTATAGTTCTATCAGCTGCAAGCTGCTTTTCAGAAATGGTTTTGTTAAGCTAAATTAATTTCTTTTATTTTCTTCCCCGGAAGATAAATTCTGTGAAACTTGTTGGCAAGCTTCTTCATGGGTGTCATATCACACAGGTTAATTGATGCAACAAAGCATCACATTCTTCAAGCTGCACATCCTTCTGGTTTGTCTGCAAATAGAGGTTTCTTTGGCTGCAGGTAATCTAGTTTTGCATTATAATTTAATAATCTGGTCAGGGTGAGTATGCAGTTAAAAAAATATGTTCCAACTTCCCACTGTTTTGCTTTGTGTATAGTCTAATATATTAACCACGCATTCATGGCTGAGGTTTTAAGTTTATTTAACGAATTAGGGCACGCCTCAGTTAGTATGAAGAGCTTTAAATTGGAAGAAGTATACACAATACTGAGCAGAGGCTGTGTACCTTTTTGTGTGGCATTTATATTGCATCACACTTCTGCTCTTATATCTACATGGTGCTTACAAATCCCTTTTGTCACGAAATAGGTCTATTTGGAGCCTGAAATCTTATAAAATGGAAGGCTATAAATGTTAAATAATAAGGATGTACTTGGTTGCTTGGTTTGTTGGTTGAGTGAGTGGAAAGAGAGGAAGGTGGCAAGTGAAAATATATTTATTTGGACACTATAAAGTCTAGAATACATTATCAAAGTTTTTCATGTAGACTTTATTGTGTTCAAACTGCTTTAGGATATAAATTGTGTCCATATCACATGGGCCTTCACTCCACTCCACCATTACTATTATTAGTGTGCAAATGGGTCACGTGATCCACAGCTTTTTTTCATGTTCTGTTCCAATGATCCTCGGATCTTTAGATCACGTGATAATTTTTCCTTTGACCTTTCTGTAAGAAAATGTGGATCCTTACTCCTATTTTATTTAATTTGAGCAGGCACTTTTCTCTCACTAACCAACTTCTGGAGCTAAATGGGATCGGTCCAATAGATTGGCAACTATGATTTATATTTTAGAGTTTCAAGTCTTTATTCCTTTAACATAATACTTTTTGAAGCCTTTAAGTGCAAGCTGTGGGGTGCTTATATGAGCTCATTTTCCTTAATGTAATGATAAGTCTTCTACTAAGAAAAAAGATGGTTCTGTCATTAGTTTGGCCCTACAGTGTTGTCACTTTTGAAGATTGTGCACTACTGACCAATGGTCTTTACTCTACATTATGTCCCACCGTTGTTGTAGGATATTATACGGATTTCATCTATTAACAATGTGCTTCCATGTGAATTTTCAGATCAAAGCATCTAAATGTGAGGTATGAGGATTTTTTATCATTAGGAAAAATATTGTATATATTCTTAACCATTCATATTTTATCATCATTAATATAAACATGCAAATGGTGAACGATATGTGCAATTCTTTATAAATCTTTATACGGATATGATATAGATATTACATTCTTTTATCATTAAAAAATAATGATGGAATTTTATTAGGTGGTTATTTGCTTACAAACGATAGTTAAACTACTCATTTTAAACTATGAAGTGTTCTGATTAATATATATTTTATTTTATAAAAACCACAGTTGCACCTTGCCTTCACAGCTATCAATTTACTTAAAGTAATGAATCAATAGTTTAGCAATCATGCCTACTTGAGGATTTATAATATGATGAATAAAATAAATAAAAGTGTATAAAGTGAAATGAACTTGAGTTTAGGATTCAGATACTGAAGTTATTACCTTGATGAAGAGAGTTTTATCCTAATTACCGATTTAATAAGAGTTAATGTCATTGATATGCTATGGGTATGGGGTGCTTTAATAATAAATAAATAAATAAAGCTCATTTTAATTTTAACCAAAGTGGTATGAAAAAAATAAAAGGACGTCATTCCCACTGTCCCACACCTACTCAGCGACTAGTAACATTGTTTGAACCAAGATCTTCTGTCCTCAAATGTTCATGTATTTCCGTTCCAAATTTATCAAATTCTATCAAATAACATAAAAAATTTATTTTTTGGAACACAATAAGACATAAAATATGGGACATATGATCTTCATTCCTATTGTTTCAAATAGATCTATGACTTTGATATTTACACACGATCTTTATATATTATAACTATCTGTACTTTTGTTCAAAAAAAAGTTTCAATTTTTTTTTGTAATAAATGAAATTAAAAAACAACTAAAAGCCGTTAGAAAGCAGGTTCCAACGGCAACAGAAATTATATGATTGGTTGTAATTAATGGTAATAACTATATTTAGCAGATACCTAACCCCATTATTGGAGCACCACCTAACTACCCTCAACTATATGTTAAAGTAGAGCACTTGCATTCACTGTTTATGTCAGTGTCTTGAAAAGGAAAAGGCCTGTACACTGTACTGTGGCTTATGCTTCACCAAGTTCAATCATTTATAAGCATACTCTTTTATGTATGGCATCGGTTGTTTAATTTAGTGTCTCCAGCGACTAATTATATATTGTCATGTTATTTAAAAAATTAGTCTCACTCTTATACTTAAAATAAAAATATTTCTCATTTTATTTTCTGTGACTTTTCATTCCTCTTCCTTTAGTACCAGAATATTCATCTTTCTTCTTGCTTCCATATAAGAATGCTCCATGCAAGACCCCATAGAAGAATACTTCCCATTTGAATATGTTTAACAATATTTGATTAATAAAATATGAAAGTAAATGAAATTTTTTTACATACTCCTAACAATAATATATTTATCTTTTTTATAATCTAAAGATACCTTCCACCCATTGATACATCTTTAGTCTAATCCAACGTCACATAACATGAAAAAACAAAAGAGGGAAAAAGCATGTAATAATGTTATAAAAGTTTTTTATATTCTCATAACATCATTTAATATTTATATACAGTAATTATTGACTCTCAAGTATAAAATGTTTAAGAAAATGGTATATAATATACTAATTATGTATAATATTTATAGTAATGGTCATAGATAATACACTCAACAAAACTAAAAAAAAGGAAAGCATGTCCCATAGAATCCATAGATGGTGTCTTGTGTATTTCGGAACGAAAAAGTTTACTCTGATTATTAAAAGTAGCTGATATGTCCTCCCTGCCTTTATTTTTATTACATTCTATCTCATCGTATCCCATTTTGTTATATTTGAGAATCGTTGTGATTACCTCAGTGTAGATTTGGAATAATTGATATAATTTAAAAAACCCTTGAGGGGAATATAATATTTGTAAGTTTTTGTAATTTTATAATTCAAAAATAAATAAAGGTTTAAACCTTTAAAAGTATTTTGGTGTCACATTTCAATATCTTCAATTACTCTGAGGAGCTAGACTCGTGTTGCCGGTAGCTGTTTAGCTACACCATACTAATTTATTACAATAAATAAAAGACAAAATTTCGAATTTCACCATTTAATAAAAAATAAAGCTTATTTGCTAAATATCCTTTACTTATTATAATATACTCATAATTAAGTTATACATATCAATAAAGGTAATTTATTTGACTATTACTTAAAAAATATTAGAATATTATTTTTATACTAATCTAATATATTTTTATTAATTGCTAATATAAAATAACAAAAGGAAAGTAAAAGATTCAAAAGTTTTAATATGAAAATGGAAAAATATAAAATGATATGTAAAAATATAAAATATATTAAAAAATGATCACAACATCTTAAGAAACGTGTACTTAAAGGAGTAGAGGTACTTTCAAGAAGTAAAAGTTAATAGTCTGTTATAAATTTTAATTGTACCAAATTGATTACCAAAAATTAAAAATTCAACCTAATAAGAAAATATTGTTTATGTGAACTAAAATGGTTCATAAAAGTAAAAATGATAAAAATAACTAATTTATTCCTTATTTGATTTTTTTAGAAGCATTTTGAGTTTTTTGAATTTTTATATACAAATTAGTACACACAAAATTTAAGGAACCATCAACAATGCGGTGTAAATCTACAATGGATTTCAAGATATACCAAAATATCAATGGTCGATTTCAGAAAACGATACTTGTTGGGAGAGACAATTATAAATTAAAGTTTGAAAGATATTTGTTTCTTACTCATTGGTTCTTTAAACCCAACAAAAATTATAAACCATGTAATTAGAAAAAACTTATGTGGAGACAAATGTATATAAATACAATAAAAAAAAGTCTTGACAACGTATTTAAATTACATTTTATTTAAAATTTAATTATAAATGGTAAAACTAAAAAACATAAATACAATTTTTTACGATTATGATATGTTGTATTCATATTAGGATATTCTTCATCAATGGTAGACAAGTGCTTTAAAAAGTAAAAAAAAATATAAATTTCAATGATTGATTAAAATAAAATTACATTTTTATTATTAAAAACAACTAAAAACATTAGATTTTCCTAATATGATCCTAAAGTATTCTTCAATAAGTTTTTCTCACTATTTAGGTGTTTTGGACTGACATGGAACGAGACATTTTCCATGTGATTCAAACGTGGTTGTCAATTAGGTGGGCCCATTTCTCGTTGGGATTCTCACCCTTTTGATCTGTTCTCCATATTAATGATTGTTTATTATTTATGGGATCAAATCTACTCTCCATTTCATGTAAATTTGCTAACTCCTTCTCTATTTCATTTTGTTTTAATTTCAACCTTCCTATTCTAATTTAATGATCACATTTCTAAAAATATGACATGCTCTGTTTTCACCTGTCATACTAATGGAGCAGGTGCAAATTGTGTTTATTTGTGTTCATAACGACCCTTATTTGTCGGTGTGTGTTTATATATATATTTCTCTAATAATAATTTCATATATTTCTATTATCCTTATTATATATACATTGTAAAATATGTTTATGATCTCCATTTTTTTGTACTATGATTTTACTCTATGAGTAAGGTATTAATCATTTTTTGGAGTGTGTGACTGCACTTCCAACAATTATCGCTCTCAGCAATCGAATCTTTAACTTTTTTGATATACCCATATATATTTGATAATTTATATATAACATTTATTATGATTATTTTTTATGAGTTATTAAAAACCATGAGTAATAGAAGTTATTAAAAATGGAAAGTAACGTATTGTTAAGATTTATAAACAACCATTTATTTATATTATTTTGTTTGAAAAGTTTATAATCTATATATCTTTTATCTTCTTTTATTAAACTCCATTAATGGATATACAAATATATATATATATATGATAAAGAATATAGGAATGTGAAATTTGGATAGTGGAAATAAATAAGGTAGATTGGGTTGAGTGATTTAAAAACCACACTCATAGCCATAGCCATAATCACTTACTGCATCCTCAGGTACACACTCTCTTTCTCTCTCTCTGTTTGGATTCTCTGAAGCTATGCATGTCATTCAATAAATCTTTCCCCATTTATTCTATTTTAATTTCCTTACCTTAAGATCTCAGATCTCACTTACTCTTTCTCCGTTTTCTTTATTATTTACTCTCTTCTATACACTCTACCACCTCTCTTTTCATCTTAATCTTTCTCCGTATCATTTTTACGGTAATTATCATAGTTCTCGCTGCTCACAGTTGTCATAAATCTCTTTATGTTAATTACTTAATTTAATCTCTAATAATCTTTCCTTACATGATAATAATGTTAACATTTACATTTACATTCTGTTTTATATTTTTTCTGTATCCAGATATTTTAAAACTGTTAAGGTTTATAGTGGCGCGGTTTCAATTGCACCAGTTATTTATTTATTTTAAAATTTCAGTTCTAGGCTTTGAGATTGTGTTAAATCATTTGTTAGTAATGAAACCATTGCTGTTATGACGATATATACATTTTTTTATTCATTTATTTTTTATTTTTTTGTGTATACAAATATTTGAAAGTGTTCAGAACTTGAGAGCTATGGTTGTGCAATTTCAAATGAATCGGTGTTTTTATTTTTTATTAATTGCAGTATCTTGGGAGGAACAATGTCAGATCTTGAGGCTCCATTGCGCCCTAAGAGGAAGAAGATTTGGGTGGACTATTTTGTGAACTTTCGATGGATAATTGTTATCTTTGTGGTCCTTCCCATTTCCTTCACCCTTTACTTTCTGACATACCTCGGGGATGTAAGGTCTGAGTGGAAGTCCTATAAAACGCGCCAAAAGGAACATGATGAGAATGTGAAGAAGGTTATCAAACGTCTCAAACAGAGGAATCCCTCAAAAGATGGTCTCGTCTGCACAGCTCGTAAGCCATGGATCG